AAAAAATTCAGTCCGGATTCTGAGATGGAATGAGTCGGGCAGAAATATGTAGGTCTCTATTGAAGAGATCTGTGGGCATGGAATTGACCCACTGACCATTTCTTCGGCTGGGAAAAGTCGCTACAGTAGGCTTATGTGCTGAGGCATCCGAAGTACTACCGCTAGTCCACCTCAGTCCCTGATAAATAGTAATTTTTTCAGTAACAACAGTAAAATGCAGTAATTTTCAAGTGCTTTATGGAAAAAAAATTCGATTCGGATTCTGAAATCAAATGAATCGGGCAGAAATAATTCTCTATTGAAGAGAACTGTGAGCATGAGATTGACCCACTGACCATTTCTTCGGTTGGGAAAAGTCCCTACAGTAGGCTTATGTGCTGAGGCATCCGAAGTACTACCGCTAGTGCTTCAGATGCTTCAGCGCAGGCTCTTACTGACTTTTTCTTAATTTCCAAATTTTCAAATAATCATAGATGGTGCAGCGGTACGATGCGCCGCTTCTGCAACCTACATATCTGACAGATCGGATATCTCATAAACAATCAGGTCTTTGATGACTTGAGTTTGATACCCTCGAGACAGGCAAACTAGTAGAAAGATAAAAGCGCCCACCGTATGCTCGATACTGAGGGGCAAATGGGTATAGTATACATCCAAATGGTTTTTGCGATTTTAGGTGGCTGTTGATTGCATGGCGAAGCTGACGATTGCCTCTCTTTTGTAATACTTCTCTTCACCCTTCAGACTCGCTCATTGGGACATTTTGCAGGAATCTTCGTTCGTAAGAAAACTTTTTAGTCCAATGAAAAGAAGTCCGATCCACCTGATCCATCGATGGAAAAAGCTAGACCCCCCATGATGATTTATTTTCATAAAGGAGATCCGCTTGTCGACCCAGTGACGGAAAAAATGTTTTTATATCCTGTGTCCTTTATGGTTTCTATCTTTTCCTCCTTTTGAAAGAAAATCCATTAATCGGCCCGAAATATCGGAATCTTTTCATATGTGCTTTGTGTTTTCATCGTCTAATCAGAAGCCAGGCCATTCTTTCATACACCCCTAATGCAGCCTGGATGGATATAGCCTATGAAATGAGCTCCTGGGACGACCGATCCATATATCTCGCAAATGTAATTACTTTGGTTATTTATACTCCATTTCTTCAAGGAAAATGGAGAATTTATGCCCAGCAACGCAATATCCATGCAATGCACCAATTCAAACGTTGTTGTCATTACATGTGCAGGTAGAGCGCATGGCGTATCCTGAGCCAGTCAAACAACTACAAGTACTCAATCTCAAGGAAGTTATGTACATTCTGGGTACGTAAAAAACGCGAAAAAAGTGAGTTTATCGACACTGATTAATGAGCTTTTCGGGATGCGCCACGCATTCGACTTCCTTTAAAAGCTGCAGAGGGACTTTCATGTTATCTCAGTGCAGATTTCAGCTCTTCAGCTGGCAATCTTCCATGGTACCAGTGCACAGCGAGGTGATTATAACAGGGTGGAAGGACCGTTTCACATGAAAATGGAATTTTTACAAATTTTCTATTATATTTTTTCAGAATCCCTTTAACTGCGAGCATTAGTAGTGTCTTATATAGACAGACTCCTGCTGGAGACGGTTTTCTGTACCTGTCCTTTTCAGATAGACTTTCAAAGTCAATTTTCACTTTCCTGCCGTTGTTTGGCTATCGACTTGGTTGGAATTAGATTGTACTTTAATCTATTAATTATATTATGTTATCTTATATTATCAAAAAATATCATAAACATTGAACTTGGTCTTACTGAGAGAATACGAGTCTGCAAAAGGGGCTTTGGACGGAATTTCGGCAGAAAGTGTCGCCTGAATTGGAGAGCTGCTAGTTATTTTTTGTAACAAAACCATTAAAATTCCTTCTTCCTGACTGCATTTTAATTTTCTTTGAATTTATTTCATGTCTGAAATGCAACGACGGCAATTATCGACGAATAGTAAAAACTCAAGTTGTGTCGAGCGCCATCAGAAGGGCACCCTCAAGCCAGGCCAGTCGTCTAGGGCAAGTTGCGTGCAAATTCATTATTGAAAAAAGTCTCTAATCACAAGAGTAGTTTTGCAGCAGAAGGGGAACAGCTAGTNGGCAGAAAGTGTCGCCTGAATTGGAGAGCTGCTAGTTATTTTTTGTAACAAAACCATTAAAATTCCCTTCTTCCTGACTGCATTTCAATTTTCTTTGAATTTATTTCATGTCTGAAATGCAACGACGGCAATTATTGAAGAATATTAAAAACTGAAGTTGTGTTGAGCGCCATCAGAAGGGCACCCTCAAGCCAGTCGTCTAGGGCAAGTTGCGTGCAAATTCATTATTGAAAAAAGTCTCTAATCACAAGAGTAGTTTTGCAGCAGAAGGGGAACAGCTAGTAAGTGCAAATGCTGTTGCAGCAACTTTCAAAAACTGAGGTTCTGACGGCTTGAAAGCCTGCCTCCTGAAAAAAGTAGCAGAAGGCTACTTTTTATTTTCGTGCAAAGTTTACAGGGGGGCACTCAGGATTGCTGTGAACGAGTCACAGCTGTAATTCAAGTTTGAAAATTACTCAGTGAAAGAAGATTACTATTTTTTGCTGGCAGTTCAGAAAGTACCTCTCTGAGAAAATCGGCTACTGTCTGGAAACCAGGGCGGAAGTGGTGTAGTGGCAAGTGGGGCGTACTTTCACAGTTGCATTGTTCACTAATCAAATCCTGGATCGATACTCGCCCGAGCCAACTAAGCTTTCCATAGCTCCGGGATCGGTCTATTGGCACTATACACGTCTGGGAGGATTTGTTCATCGGCTGGCCACAGTAAGTCGTTATTAGGTCAAATACGCCTTCAAATGCCCCCTTGCTTCTGGATGGAAGTCGAATTCGTGGGCACATCTTACAGACAGGACTATTAAGGTCAGAAGGAATTCAAGGCTAACATTTTGAACAGATGTCGAATGCAAGGCGTACCTTGTCCCAAGCGGGACTGTTAGCGGAGAGGACTTCATTCTCCACCCTTCCCGAATCTCATCTGAGAACAAAAATCTGAAAAATAGATAGAATCTTGTTCTTTTTTCTTATTTCACGCTTTTATTCGGTTCATGAAGGCAAGTCCATCAAATCTGAGAAGCAGCAGGTCAAAGACCCTGTGTGATAAATATGCATATTGATCGGGATCACTATAAGCTTTCGAATTTTTCAGATGTTTCTCAAACATATCAGTTTAAATATTCAAGTCCAAGTAAATAAGAGGTTCTAGAAAACTTATCAGCTTCGACAGCTTATTTTTTCTTTTGTTCAAATATTTGCTATCGCACACCCTTGAAATATAGACGACACAGAAAACTTAACTTTCGAATTTAGCGATGAAATCGGATTTTTAATATCTTTTCTAGCAGTTAATTATAATTACGATTCATACTTTCGGCTTATTCAGAATTCGGACGAGAATCCGCACAAAAACGACAATCGCTTGAACGAGCCTTGAGCCAAACTCAACGTTATTCTCTTGCCAACTCTAATTCCTATCTACTTGTCGGATACGTGGCGCATCCGCTGAGGTTCTGATTAGGCACCTTGTAATTTTTCACCCCAATTTTTCCTTTTTTTT